TGAAGACTATCTAAAACACATAACCTAAATACAACCATAGTGTATGCAGAAAATGTTAATCGTCTGTTACATGTTTGCGAGATAACACGCCAAAGAGTGAAAAACACGTGCACCACGGACAACTGCAAATGCACGTGCGGGTAAGGGTATAAAACGATTGCAACGGCAAGTCAGACATCCCCAGTGATAAAAAAAACACAAAAGAAATGCCACGACTCACAGACGAGCAACGTGAACGAGCCTTGGGTATGGTACAGATGGGAGCCATCCACGCCCATATTGCACGAAGCTTCGGTTGCTACCGTGTTGCTGTTACCAACTTGATGCAACGTTACAGGCAGACATGGCGGACCGCAGACAGGCCAAGAACAGGCAGACCCAGGGTGACCACGCCCCATGATGACCGGTACTTGCGTACCTTGCACCTCCGAAATCGCTTCCGAACAGTGACGTCATTGGCGACAAAGGCCTTAGGTCACAGGGTTAGTCGACAGACAATTGCCAGGAGACTCAGGGCTCATGGAATCAGGGCTTTTAGACCATACAGAGGACAGCTATTGACAGCGCAACCTCGTCGTCTGCGATTGAGATTGGCCCGGACTGTACGACGTTGGCAACGACGTGACTGGCAGAGGGTTGTCTTCACAGACGAAAGTCGATTCTGTATGTTTAGGGCTGATTGAAGACAACGTGTTTACCGCCGAAGGGGTGAAGGAACGGCGGCGTGTTGCGTGCAGGAGGTCGTACCATATGGTGGAGGGAGTGTCATGGTGTGGGGAGGGATCTGTGGGCAGGAGAGGACACCGCTGGTCATCGTTGACGGAAACTTGACAGCTCAGCGTTACATGGATAATATTCTTCGTCCAGTTGTCCTACCATTTCTCCAACAGCAGCCACGTGGTGTCATTTATCAGCATGACAACGCTAGAGCCCATACAGCCAGAATTGTAACTAACTTCCTTGCAGCCAACAACATCAACGTCCTGCTGTGGCCTGCACGCTCACCCGACATGTTCCCCATAGAACACCTCTGGGACTTGATGGATCGTCGTGTTCGACCACGACCACACTCTCCAGCCAACCGGCAAGAACTGATCTTGGCCCTCCAAGAAGAATGGCGTCCAATCCTACGTGACCTCATCAGACGACTGACTTTTTCTGTGCGTCTAAGAGGTTTTGCGTGTATTGAGGCATTTGGTGGTCACACACGCTACTAATGACTTGTTATTTAATGTGCGCGATTGTTTATGTACTCTGCCTATTGTCCATGATTTTGAAAGCTCGAGTTTTGCACCACACCCAACTTTGGGTGGCTCTGACGTCATTCTCGGCCGCGGTATGATTGTCAGTTTCAGTGTTGATTATGTTGATATATTGATCTTCTCAATACACTTTACTTCATGCATGTATGTTTTGTTGTTTTTGAGCAAGAGTGATTTCAAACTCTGGTAAAGTTTCTTTTGGGCGTCAGTTTAGTTCAATCTTTTTTAATTTTTTAATTTGAAGTTTACACAATATACAGCTTTTCAATTGGACGAGAGGTCGGTTACTTGACCGCGAAATTGACACAATTTGACGTTCATACGTTTTTCACGAGACCATGTTCTTGAAATGACGTAAACACTGATTGACTACTCCCACATTCCAGGGGAAACACCTGGGAATTCCCTAGGCGAAAATCAAAACAGAAGCGTTCTTTCTGATCATTTAGACCCTTTAATCTTGAACTCAGCGTTTTAGTATACATTGAGAAACGTCCGAGTTCGACTGCACGGTTGTTCGCGAATATTCTCGCTACAACCCATCCTAGTGAAGAAAACGAAGAAATGCACATCCAAACTGTAGTATCAACTCGATCAGTGTCTAGGCTGGCAGTGTCTGTCTACAGCAATCTATGATTTTACCTTAGTGTCTATTTTACACATCTTTAATCACCTTTCAATGATGACTAAAACATCGCAAGCTCCGACATTGATATAGTTCGGCCCTCACTCTATGAAGGTTCATACTCCAATGAACTCAAACAAAGTGAAAGTTATTTCTTAAATAAACATTGGTCAAGCAGAGGTATACCGGTAACCTTCGATTTATTGGATGAGAAAGGTAAAATGTATATATTTGATGCTTTTGTGCATAGGTATTGAATTGAAACAAATTATGTAGAATATAATGGAGTTGTAAATGCAGTCAAACAATTTTGGAAGGTAAATGAACATACCGGGGTAATGGTTTTGATTTTCAATCTCTTTGACCAACGATACCATTCAATATATCACATCTGCTGAACCAAAATATAGGTAGTAAAGATATTTACAAGACTTTATTAGCTGTGAAGTTTGTTAAATTTCTTGGCTTTGAAAAATAGCAAAGCTTACTAAATAAGACGTTTAGTGAAACAGATTTGCAAAAACATATATTGATGGCAAAAAGATGTACTCAAAGTGAAGATATTAGATGGTTTCAGTTTAAGATTATTTATTACATTCTTACAACTAACAAATATTTATATAAAATTGGATATGGTGATTCTCCTTTGTGTACTTTCTGTACAAATCAACACCTGAAACTATAATCCATACGTTACACGGTATGATTGTGAACGTGTAAGAAAGAGATGGGAGAAACTGTTAACGAATAAGGAACCATTCGTTTGAACCGAGAAAATGTTGTTTTTTATTTCAAGGCAAACATAACCATAAAATAACTGACAACAACCCATTGAATATTGTACTTTTAATAACAAAGCAAGTAATATACAGCCAAAGTAGAAAAATATCAATGCCACATTTTGAACAAATACATCATGAGATAATTAGTTATTATAATGCTACAAAGGTAACTTTGCAAACTTTTTTAGTTTCTTGTCTTCCTTCCCGACTTGTTTAAAAACCAATCTGCAATACATAGTGATACATACGCTTTGACTTTATGGGCAAGAATTTAAATTTATATGTATGAATAGCTGTACACTTTTGGAATACCATGTACCACAATTTTATTGACATGACATGTATATAAACTGACGTCCAAAAGAAACTTGGCAACTTAAAAAATGAAATTATTGAAACACAGATACTTTCACCCAAACGCAACCAAGCCAAAACCAGTCGTCTAAACCCATCGAATAAAAACTCGTGCAATTACTGAAGTGCAGTGCACGTGTTGTTGTTGGAAAGTGATTTTGAAAGTAAAATCATTATTCGCGTTTTTTTTAAATTGCACGTGAACAATTGCTAGCAAAACTGCGAAGTTTATCTCTTAGAGATGCAGTATGAAGAAAAAACACTAAAGGAATGCCCAGGTTAACACAAGAACAGCGTGAGAGGGCTATAGGAATGCTGCAAATGGGGGCAACACAGTCGCATGTTGCAAGAACATTCAACTGCTCCCGTAATACCGTTGTCAACTTGGTCCAGCGATTGAGAGTAACAGGTCGCACATCAGACAGGCCAAGAACAGGCAGACCAAGGGTGACCACGACCCATGAAGATCTCTACCTACGCACATTGCACCTGCGTAATCGAATCCTACCTGTGACGTCATCGGCAGTGAATGCGTTGGGTCGTGTGGTCAACAGGCAGACAATAGCCAGAAGACTAAGGGCAGCAGGGATCAGAGCCTATAGACCTTACAGAGGGCAACTGTTGACGAATGAACATCGTCGTCGAAGACTGAGATGGGCGCGAACAGTTAGGCGTTGGCAACGACATGATTGGCAGCGTGTCCTCTTCACTGACGAGAGTAGGTTCTGTATATTCCATTCTGATGGCAGACACCGTGTGTATCGTCGAAGAGGCGAACGTACTGCTCGTTGTGTCGAAGAGGTCGTATCCATCGGTGGTATGAGTGTCATGGTGTGGGGTGGCATTTGTGCTGATGAGAGGACGCCATTGGTCATCATTAACGGTAACTTGAATGCCGTACGCTACAGGGATGAGGTTTTACGCGTTGTGCTTCCATTTCTTCGTCAACAACCACAGGGTATTGTGTTCCAGCATGACAATGCTAGGCCACATACTGCTAACATTGTGCAAAACTTTTTTAATGTTAACAATTTCCATGTGTTGTCCTGGCCAGATCGTTCACCAGACCTTAATCCCATAGAGCACCTTTGGGATTTCATGGACAGGCAAATTCGACGACGACAACAACCTCCAACCACCAGGAATGAACTCATCCAGGCCCTCCACGAAGAATTGCGACGCATCCCACGTGATGTCATCAGGCGACTGACAAATTCATTTCGTAGGAGAGTGTTTGCCTGCATTCAAGCCAATGGAGGTCACACACGCTACTAGGGTGACACAAACACTTTCTATAGTCATTTTTTGCCGAGATAGTCATTTGCACTTGTAATGAAAAACTGTCTTGCATACCCCACCTGAACATTACCAGCCATATTTAATTCGCTTGTCATGTTATTGTTATGACTTTCTGCCTAAGGTTGTGGTAAATATTCATGTTTACAATACAGTTTATTCTGATCGTTTATGTTTTGGTGTTGTTTCGCTATCGAACTTCAAATTGGCTGCCAAGTTTCTTTTGGACGGTAGTTTATATATGCTGTACCTGCTGAGATGAATAAAGAAGGGAAAAACTGTTTAAAAAATGACTATATCTGCTATTCACCTACAGGTTGATTTTGTTTGAGATGAAGATTCTGAAAATCGGAGAGCAATAAAACAATGTTATATCGAGATAAAAATGTGAAGTAATTGAGTGTGGACTCTAATGCTCAATCACCAATGTCCATTTGAGTCGCCCCTTTTGACACATACGTTGCCCTGTTATCTTTCCGGGGATGGCCACTCGACGATTACAGACAGCTTTAGTCCAGTTACTACAAGAGAGAGCATATCATATTAATAACTAGACCATGAATACTGAATGATGGGAGGATCAATTGATAGTGTGTGCTCTCAAAATTTAATCGAACTTCAGTTTGCTCCGCTAAAAATTTGAAAATAATCACATCATTAGTTTACGTTCTATGTTCTTAGCTGCGGGATATGCGACATGAGAACTTGAATCCTTGTGTAGGATTGTTGGTGGATCCAGTCAAGTCTTCCCTCGTGATGGAATACTGCAGCAGAGGCAGCTTAGAGGTATGTGCCAATATACACATTTTCTTTAAACACATTAGATCACTCAAAGTAACCCACTGGAACAATCCATAATGATTAAATACAGATTGAACTTGAAATACAATATATTTTATCTTTATTTAAAATGGTGTGGCATTAACCCCCTGGATGCCAGAGGGACATATATGTCCCTCCTCTTCAACCCTCACTTTGAAGTTGTGTAAATCACGCACACAGATACACTTCACAGTTTTGAATAATGTGGGAAATTCCCTGTTCTGTGATATCATCCACTGGCATTTTCAGCCAAGCAAAAGTACTGAAAATGACCTCTGAAAATTAGGTTCCTCGTAAATGTTGCCATTTTTTACACATTACTAAATCACCATTGACAGCATTATTTACATCATGTTTTGAAATCTAATTTTCGGGCATTTACTCGGAGAAATGAATTTTAAAAATAACATATTAGTGATCACTGGTATCTGTCTTTTATCAAATCACCAATGATCATTCGAAAACATCACCGATAACCCTAGAATCGTTTAGAATGTTTTGAAAAATATGCACACAGTTTCCACCATATTGGATAGTGTTTACAAAATCACGTTTCCACATACCGGTTATGAGACGCCTGTAACATCACGTACATGTCAAACTCAGCTGCAATATATACATTCGTGAATTCCTCTTACATTTTGGAATCAAATGACAAATGGTCTTTGTCACAAATACAAGGTATCTAGATGTAATCAAGCAAAATAAATTAGGTGTGAAAACAAACGCTGTGTTGGAAAACTGCACTTGTTTGAAATGTAAACAAAGCAAAATTCAGATTTTACATAGTGTAGCATTTTCCCCTATTGAGATATCCATTTGTCTATTCGTTGCATACATTGGCTCAACATTTTCACAATATGCATGGGATGAGAATCATAAGAAGAATTAGGGAATTAAAAATAGAAACATTTCAACGAATTCATAAATTCAACAGAAATAGTCAAAGTTTCAGTCCTGCGTGATGTCATGACTGACGCAAAATCAGGCACAATGACAACAGTATTTTTCGGAATTTCTGACTATATATCTCTTGGTTTCAATGAAAAATATAACAACAAATAACAGTTCATAGATGTACAGGGGCGGTCAGGTAGCCTAGTGGTTAAAGCGTTTGCTCGTCACGCTATAGACCCGGGTTCGATTCCCGACATGGGTACATTGTGTGAAGCCCACTTCTGGTGTCCCTGGCCGTGATATTGCTGGAATATTGCTAAAAGCGGCCTAAAACCGTACTCACTCACTCACTCATAGATGTAGATGCTCAATACTTAGCGCCTTCTGTATGCTATCTTCAATTACCGTATTCGACTCAATAAGCACCCAGGGCCCTCTCAAAATAAGAAATAGAAGCCTCGTATTAAAATATTATTTTGAGTTGAAAGATCGTAAATTTCGTGGTTTATGCTGACAGCCGGAAATGTTTATATACGACAGATATATTTTCCCAGAATTTAAATGTCCATAATTAAGGGTGCATATAACACACGAGTGCGTATTATACGCGAATAAATAAGTCTGTGTACATTGATCAGTCGGAAGGGGTGCTAAGTGGGATTGTTCACTAGACAATATATTAGCAAATATCGCCTTGGGCGCTTATTAGAGCGGGGCGCTTATTATGTCGAATACGGTAGCTTTGTGGGATAATTTTGATGCAGTAGGAAACTCTTAAGTTCAGCAAGGCGGGTAGTTTTAACATCATTCTCAGAACAATGGTACAAATACGTCTTGCGAGACAGTATTACAGATATTACGTTTTGTATGATACGGGTGACATGATCCAAAATCCAAATCTGTACAAATTGTTTGTACAAATCTCTCAGATATTAAATTGATTCTTACATCGAGAAAGGTTATACTGGATTCGCTTTTTTCCATGGTGAAATCAAACAATAGTTATCATTGTGTATAATTCTAAGAATACTACCTCTATTACATCATAGCCACAAATTCCCATTTTGGCAATAATCACACTTTAAAATCTTTAGATTTTTCAACAGACGTCCTCTTCACTGCCAATTATACCATGGTCTTGAGGTAAACCCTATCCCTTGTCAAACTGCATCTGCGCATGTGCAAGGCGGGAAACCATCACTTCTTTCCAATAACCTTCGTCGACTAGATGTAAGATATATTGGGGAGGTGGGAGGGACTATTTCCTTTTGTAATATAGAGGTAGTATTCTTAGAATAATACACAATGATAACTATTGTTTGATAATTCCTGCGAATATCCTACCTCTATGACATCATAGCCAGTATTTACCAGAGGGACAGGTGGGATCTTGTCATCTAGTACTCCCGGATAATTGGCAGCATTAAAGTAAGGGAAAATACATAGGCATAACTGGGTATGACTCAATGCCAGACTTCCTGATTTCACCCTTGGCAAACCTGCAGAAGACTTGGCACTTGTGGCGTCCTTCCCGTTTTATGATCTCATGATTGTTACCTGTTTTTGGTGGATATTTGACCTTATTTATATGATTCCCTCTCCGGTTAATGACCTTTCTGACGTCACTTCCAGTTCTGAGAGCATTTATGATGACACTATTGGTTCATTCTCCTGTGACATCACTTGGGTCGTTATGACGTCACTTCCGGTTCTGAGGTCATCTATGACATCACTTCCGGTTCATTTGTCATTGTGACGTATCTATATACTTGTTGCTCTATAGCCAACAAGCATATATACTTATCTCACCTCAGGTATGATAATGACGTACTTTAATGCTGATGACGTGTTTCCCTTTATATATTGGTGATAAAACGTACTCTTTTACGTAATTCTGGTTCTGAAGTCTTCCCCGACAACACCTCCGGTAGTTATACATGTTACGCCGAGCAACTAACAATGTAATAACCCTATCACCTTATGATCTATGATCCCAGATGTTAGCCAATGATCTGTCCAACCCAGTTGACATAATGTAAAGGCTAACTTACCTTATTTTGAGGTACTTCTGGGGATCTTCATCCCCGCCCCCCCCCTAACTTCCACAGAACAGGGGATGGATAGGCTACTGAATGACTATAGCCTGGGCCGCCGCCAAGGCCCCCAGGGAGTATAGCCCCTCTAGATCATGTTGTACGTCTCGTAGGTAGAAATGAGTAAACGTATTGTGGGATCTCCATTGACAGCTTGATACCACTTGTTCCATGGAAACTGAATTCCATGAGGCCAGACTTGTTGCTAGAGCACGGATTTCATGAGCCTTGCAACTTCCCCATATTGGTGTAGAGAGCTGGGCTTGACGATAACTATCAGATATAGTGTTCTTAAGCCACCCGGCCACAGTAGCCTTGGTAATGTACTTTTCTGACGAAGGCTTGCAAGAGATAAAGAGCCGTTTTCTTTTCTTCCTGTGGTTCTGAGTAGCTGAAATGTAGTATCACAAAGCTCTGATGGGGCATAATAGTCTATCTGGATGATCAACTGTTTTACTCAATGATGGGATAGAGTATTGTCTATGTCCTAGAGGCCCAAACGCTGATGCCTGGTTTTTGGCGACAAATTCTGGTAGTGATCTGAAAGATATTTTGCTCCAATCTTGTGAATGCGTAATAGATGCGATGGCAATAGCGTGAAGCTCAGACACTCTAGCAGCTGAAGCTAACGCTAAGAGGAAGACAGTCTTTTTGGAAACTGTTAAAAGTGTAGCCTCTGCCATTGGTTCATATGGAGCTTCTATCAGTGCAGACAGTACGATGGATAAATTCCATTTAGGGAAAGTGCGTGGGATTTTAATGTCTTCCAGTGAAAACAATTTCATGAGTCGATTTAATACTGGGTGAGATCCTATGGATAAACCATCATGTTGTAGAACTGAGGCTAATGCTGATCTAGAGCCTTCAATTGTACCATGTCTGAACCCTTTCTCATTTCTCAGGTGAAGAAGAAAATCAGCCACTATAGGTATTGTTATATTTTCGTCACGCAACCCTCTTTCTATTCGCCACTGGCAGAACTTTCTCCATCTGACGTTATAGATAGCTGAGGAAGCTGGTCTCCATGAGCTAGCCACCGCGTCTGAAGCTGATTTAGAAAAACCGGAAACTTGCATCTTTTTCGCGATAGTTTCCAGGCGTGAAGGTGGAGATTTGTCAGGTTGCCGTAAAATATGTCCGATTTTGGTTGGCGGAGGAGATTATGACGTTCTGGCAGTTTGAGCGGCTCTTCTATGAGAATTAGAATTATGACGCAATCTGTGTCCTCGATCATCCTTATTACTCTTCCCAGGAGGAAAAGCGTAGGCAAACATCCCTTGCCAACTCATGGATAGGGCGTCGACCTGAAGGGCTAATGGATCTGGGACTGGGCTGACGTAAACAGGAAGTCGATGGTTTAGGCATGTGGCAAACAAATCCAGGTGAGGCGTATCCCACGTCGAGGTTATCCACTTGAATACCTCGGGGTGGAGAGTCCATTCCGTGGGTACAATCTTGTTTTTTCGGGATAGGCAGTCTGCCAGTATGTTCACTTTTCCCGGTATGTGCCGTGCTTCTATCCTGCAACTCACTGAGTCTGCCAAGGCAAATAAAAGCGTAACCTCCTTCAACAAAAGTGCTGACCTCGTGCCCTCTTGATGTTGTATGAACGCTACCACCGTGGTGTTGTCTGTAGCTATCAGTACCGACGAGTGGTGTAGTAGGTGGGCCCAAGCCTTCATTGCTTGGACAATAGCTCTCATTTCCAGACAATTTATGTGTATTTTTTTGTCTTGATCTGAACACATTCCTTGGATTGTGACGTCGTCCATATGTGCGCCCCAACCTTCGCCTGATGCGTCTGTATATAGATGGTGTAACGGTGGGGGGAACATGAGAGGGATGCCTGGCATGACGTTTTGACGCCGAAACCACCATCGTAGTTCCGATAGTTGACTGTGAGGAGGTTGAATTGTCTCTTCCAGGTCCATATTTCTGGTGGTGTTCATCCATGCTTGTAGTGGACGTAACTGG